ACTGAAGACTAGGATAACATGTTTTTATCGTAGTACAAACTTCACATCAAGCTGTACAAACCATTTTATCATGGTTTCGAGTTATATGATCTCTCTGTACATTCAACGGTCAATTTATACTGGATATCTTAGCTTGATGTGCCGTGTATATAAGAGTTCATATGCGCGGAATAACAGGAGTGACGTCACGTAATGGCGTACTTACCTCCCTTTCCTTTTGTCACTTGAGAAGATGCGGCATCATACCATCATCGCCCACTTGCGCGATGTAGGGCTATTGTTGTTCTAGTGTTATGGTAATGAGCCGTTGTATCTTTTTTAATTAATTGCTTCATTCTTTGGCTTTTTTTGTAGTCTCCTTGTCTTATTGCCGGTCGATACCAAACAAGAGACTTTATATTTTACAAAAGCCGGGGCAGATTTCTGATCTGATTGATTTTATTTTTTTGACGCGCTATATCCAATCCACCTGATTTGCTGCGATATTACGCAGCAGTGAAGGAAAAACATCGTGAGGAAACCGGAACTTATAATTTCTTATTATAAGTTTGAAATCGCCAACCCGCATTGAGCAAGCGTATGGCGATTAATGCTCGTACCTTCTCCGTGTGAGAAGAGGCTTTGCTCAGCAGAGGGCATTTAATGGCTGTTGATGATGATAATTCTCCTAAATTTAACAAACACTTTTCTGAAAACCGCATTCATATCGGTTCAGCCAATCGTGAGATAACTGCGTCCAAACGTACATACATAAATACACACATACAGGTCAAAATGAGAACTTCTTTCTTTGAAATCGGTTAATAATATTACATTTTCTTCGGTTAAAAGAAATGATCTTGAAAAACTGACTTACCTTATGAAAACGCATTTCTTTTTAATCAAATAAATGAACAAACATAAGTATAATACTTACGTATAAAACTCATCTTATCTTCACACATACAGATTCAATTTGAGAGTTAATCGCACAATTTACGAGGACGTACGAGTTTAACTTGGATATTAAAAGCTTTCAGTAAAACGCGGGGATTACGAGTTGAATGTCATGTTTAAAATTGTAACTTGTTTACACATTTTATTTGTTGTCGTACGCAATTCTGCAGATCATCAAAATAATAAGTCAAATATGTATATTTAGAATTCTTTATAACTTTTCGTTTATACTTACTGACATTGAGTACTAAGTTTAACATCGACTGAGTTAAAGGATTATTGTTTTTTTTTGTGTTTTTATAATGTTTTGAATTTGAAACTCATGCTTATTCTTCACAGATAAGCTATTTTGAGGGCACGCTGTAGGTGTTTGTAAACGCACCCACGACACAGGAGAAAATCCTAATAAAAACAAATCCTAGAAAAAATCTAATTATATTTACATTCCTACATACATAACATCACGCCTTTTATCCCCGAAGGGGTAGGCAGAGGTGCACACAGAGTTAACACCCACTTTTCACTATTAATGTTATATTATTGCAATTTATAATGATGACCTATTCTATTCTTAGAACGTTAAATAGCTGTTAATGTAACACGTACTTTTCTCGTATAAAAGGTGGTTTTACTAAAAATATTTGAAAATAATGTGTAACGATTCATTATGATGGAATGTTTTTTGCTTCATTTAAAACATAGATTTGCTTCAGACGAGAACAAGTCATCACTGCTATTAGCATGCTTGTCAGACAATAGTGATGTAATTAGTGCACAGGTGGTGGGCACGTCTGCCGATGCCGTTTGGCGAGTAGCAAGTAGCCCAAACCTATTATGTAATATGTCACAACTTGCGAAAATGACGAAATGTCGAGTCGAACCAGTCAAGGTCATAGAGCCGCCATTTCGATATTATTTTTTAATTGAGTCTATTCTTTTGAAGCATAGACATGTGGGGATTGGCGGTTTTTATGTCTGGGTCTTACAGGGCCTTATAAAATTTGGTAGATGATTGTGTTCATTAAAAGCCAGATGTAGGATAAGATACGTAATACACCTTATACTTACAGATAACGGGGATTTATTTCCTCAGAATCAGAATCTTTATTTGTATAATATAGGTATCATGAAGTATATAAGATCATGTCTTCTAACCCCGAAGTAGTAGGCAGAGGTGCACGGGGGAAGGGGTGAGCCAATTGCCATATACCGGGCCAGACTCCGTGCTATTACTGAGAATTTAGAAAAAAACCAGTAGGATATATACTTTACCCGACTCGGGAATCGAACACTAGACCTTTTGCCCGGTCGCAAAGTCGCACTTGCGATCACTTGGCCAACGAAGTATTTATCCAAAAACCTATTTAAGTCTCAAAATTATAATAAACATCCTTTAATGTTGACCATTTTCAAGTACCTAACTTTAACCAATATTTAATACTGATAATCCAATCCTACATATTTTATGTAAACATTACTGTACCCATTCACATGTTGACACTCCTGAAAAACCCCCAACCCATTTAAATTTAAAAATCAAATGTTTTTTATTCAACTTTACGCTTTATGTCTGAACCCACACCGCAGACCGTCAAAGCTGAATAAATTGAATTTCATGAGTCTTTCCTGAAAGTGCGCCTTTGTGAAATCAGGCTTAGTATCTGGTCTGGTGTATTTTTGGCTTCAGTTCAGTGTGAAATCTATACTCGGTTCAGTTGCGGCCCATTGTGCCAGAATAAAAAGTTGCTGACTTTTATTGAGCTTTGTTAGCTGGGTGGGTGGAGAAGATTTTTCGATGCAGTTTTAGGTGCAAAGTAAAACTTAAGTTTATCTTGTTCTAAAATGAGGTTGGGCACGCCCCCCGTGACAGTAACGCGGACTAATTCTTTGACGTTCTACTGACTTATTTTTTTATCTTTTTTTATTAGCTGTTTTAGGGCCAATTTTCAATTATTCAATGCTCAGTTAAATTTTAACTGCGGAGTTACTTTCAACAATTGACAATCCTTCCATACTAAAAACTGTCAAATATCAATTTTATACTACAGTTAAGATTTAACTGATTATTGAAAAATCGGCCCTTAGTTTTAATTAATTTTAAGTTGTATAAATAAAGTTATGTTCATGTTTCATTCTAAACTTGCTGCCATGCCATGATGCCATGACACGGGAGTTTATTTTTGTTTTCCACCTTTTCCTGGTCTTTACCCAATTCCTTTGTCAATCACGTCTTTTTTGATCAAATTAGAATATGTTCTGTATTTTTCCGTTTTTATTCTATTTTTTTCCTTTGTTACCTTGTCCCTTCAAAGACGTACCTACACAACAACGAACTATAACAGCAGTTTTTCAATCAACATGGCATCAAACTACAATACTTTTTATTATTTGCGACCAATTAAAAATACAAGCGGTACGCTCGATTTTTTTAAAATGTTATGTTTATTGGATAAAATAAACAATAACACAATAGAAAACCTGATATTTGTAATGCCTACGATTGCACAACTGACTATGTAAACAGGAGTTGATATTTACACCTCATTGTATTCAAAATTTTGAATACAACATTACAATGTTTCAGAGAGTTACGCAAATATTATAATCATTATTCAAAGACCTATTTTTGGCTCGCACTGAGGTGAGATTTTGTAGTCCTAAGCAAATATGCAAAGATATTTTCGTCACTTTTTCATTTATTATTTGAATTAATATTCTCTCAGTTTTTGACACATTTATTTATTGTAGACACTTATACTTAATTTAGTTAGGAATTAAGTACAAAATACCCGACACTGGCAGTATAGTCGACAACATCGTATTGGAAACTCGGTTGCCAAAGAAGAGAAAAAAAAGTACAAAATATGACATTGTATTTTTACAGTCAACTCGTGATTGTGATCCTTCAATATGTTCACATATGTGTAAAAACCATGTGGTAAATAAGGTTTAATATGCCAAGATAGACTTAGATACAAATAGGTTTAACTCAATGTATATAAGAAATTGGGTTAACGAAACCTATTCGAATTAAAGTAGTAGGTAGCACATTTATTTCTTGCAACAGAGCTACCAGACTTAGACGTGTAATTCCAAACTTGTATTTAAACCTAATCGTGCAATTTTATTAACCTTCATTCCTTTCAAGTACGTTCCGTTGCATAATGTTAAAAGCTATTAACTGTAATGTCGGGAGGGGTTGAGCCAAGATCTATCTTGTCATACAGCAGTTCTAGTGCGATTCCCGCGCGGTTAAGTCAATGACGAATCGTTGAACGTAAAATTAAACGTGCGTGCACCGACCACTTTCGATCTTTACTTCTAGAACCAGGTGCAATATGTTATCTGTGTCAGTAACTGCAACTTGCAGAAAAAAAACACATTCTATTTTTCAAATGTGAAGCTTGTAATGTCGCAACACTGCGTTTTATGTTTTTCTGTACCTGGCCAGTGTTTTATTATTTTGTAAAAAGTTTTTATTAACATTTTATTGATTTGTAAGATTTGAGTTATTAGAGTGAGACTGCATAGTTATGTCTAATCTGTCTGGCATTGATTCTGTATATGCACATTAAATTCGATTTTCTTACCTAAGTCGCCGGTTTCTCTCAATTTATAAACACGCAGTGTCGCAGCATACTAAATTTCGCAAAACATATTGCTCAAGTGTTTTGATTGTTTGAATCCAAGGCAGTTTTAGGGAACTCATGAGATTGCAACAAGATTGGCAATGGACGTAAATAAAATATACGCCCGGTGTCTGCAAAATGATACATTTCCACGAGAGTTTTATTCAAATGTAAATATTATTCATCGCTTTAATATCAATAACTCTAGCTTGAACTTGATTTATGACATTTAGTGCATATAAAATCTGCTAGTTACATTTCAATATCGTAAATTCTTTATGGAATTAATTCCGCTGCACAGAAAGAAATTAAATTAAAAGTTAATAACACTAAGTTGAGTTACCAAAACAAGTTTTGGAGTATTAGCAAATTGCATGTTTTGTGAAATGTTCGAAACTAGTTAATCTGCAGTTGCCATTAAGAGACTATGAGTGAATTATTAATGCGCCTGCATTAGTTATTGGTTACGAAATAATAACACTACCAGGTTGGCTGGACACGGTAAGGTCGGTCAGTAATGCTCAGTAATCCACCAAAGGTCGGCGCGTTATACAATACATAGACTATAAAAAATCGTGTTAATTGATTTAATAAAACCTTTATCGATTATCCGTGAGTGAAATCGATTTAAAAAAAAAGTCAGTTGCAATTCGAAATTTGAAACGTGCTATAGACAATAATGGAGTTAACAAAAGTGTGTTATATTGGGACTCTTTTGTCTTTCCTGATGTTTGATATCCTAATGGAAGGATCGACTCAGGAGACTTCGTTTGAATTACCAGTGCAGTTAGTTGGATTCCCTTTCATCATTGTAGCTGTTCGGCTTACGAATTTCGTGAAGAAACTGTCTTACGCTTTAAATCCAGGTAATTAATTTTCCTACTTCACCTTAGAAATAAATGACTTTGGAATTAGTAACTAATTTTTGCGATAAAAATATGCAGGCTTTATAAACTTTCTGAATTATAAAATTATATTTACGTGAAGGTTCTTTAGCTGCTTCGTATTATAATGCGTCTGCTTTACTTTCAAAAAGTTTTATATACGAATTCACATTTATTGCCAGGAGTTCTTTGAAAGTTTGTGCTGATCAAAAATGCATCATTACATTAGATAATGTACGAACCTCTTCAAGCGACGTTGTACATGAAATTGAAGTAATTGCACTTCCGTTACACTTACTTACTTCTACATAAATAAGTAGGCCATAACGACTCATCAATTTTAATATGTCAATTCTTTGTATAATAATAATAAAATAAAAAAAAATATCTTTCCGTAATACGCATAATAAAGCGATTACTTTACGGTGAGTTAAGATTGATTGACCTACAAAATCATTACATAAAGTAAACCAAAGAGAACGTGTCTGCGTTCCTTCTCACGTACTCAGAGCTTTTGCAGTGCGATCTTAACCGTAGTACTGGCCAGTTGATTATACCCATAGACCGCGGTTACCGCGCGCGAAACTGACATTCGAAATTCGAAATTTTGACGTCTCGTCGTCTTGGCGCGAACGTTGCCATTGTGTTTAAAATCTTTTTTCAAAAATGAAGTGCAATAGGGTCATGTTTATATTTTTGTTATCAACTATTTTAGTTGATTTTTGTGGACATGTTATGAGTCAAGAAAGTAATTTTGAACTACCAGTGCAGTTAGTAGGATTCCCGTTTATCATTGCTAGTGTCAAATTAACAAACTTTTTGAAGAAGTTTTCGTATTCTTTGAGCCCAGGTGAGTACAGATTTTTGGAATGATCTCCCTAATTTAATACGTGATGTTTTCGTGGGTATTATTTGCTTCAAAATTACGATTTAAGCGCTACATTAATGTTCATTTCGTGAAAGCTATTGAACCTTTAATTTCAATCAAGTAATTTAATTATCAACGTACCCTATCCAATTGGAAAAATGAGCCTTTAAAAGAATTTTCATTGCATTTCTGAAATAAATTCAATCAATTTTATAGGGGAGTTGTTTGTGGTAATTGCTTCATCAAATATCCAATCGTTAACCCATTTAATTTGACCGGACCGAGGACGAATGATGAAGAGACGTTTTATTGTGAAAAATTAAATGAAAGAGAAGTACCTATTATATTTATTATAAGTACTGGTACTAACATTCAAATCTAATTTGAACGAAATTGTTAACTGTAGATACTCTTTTAAAATTAATGAGGTCAAAGAAAAATAGGAGTAATATTTCCAATTTTTAGAACGAAACGTTTCGTTTCAAACCTGTTTAAAAATAAAATGAAAATGTTGTATGAATCATAGTTTTCTACACGTTCATTCTTTGTGACAGGGGCTAGAAATATTGCACCCTAGTGTAACTTGCTGCTTGATAAATGCTCTTCAGCACTCCAGCACACAGCGGATTTTGCTATGAATATTTTTTACCAAATGACTCTTGAACTTTATGCGGTTTTTGTATGTGTATTTTACCAACAAGATGGTTTGATAATGAAAAACTAGTTATAAATAAATGTTTATTTGGTGTAAAAAGTCAGATTACAAAATAAATCTTATTACTTAATCTAAAGGACGTCTAAATTTATATAGTTGTGGTATTAGAGTGAGGTTTAGTAAAGTCTACAATTTTAGCTATTATTGAAAAGTATACATCCAAAAAGGTGTAATGTAAGTTCACACCCAACAGAAGCTTTGACGTAATGCATCCTACTTGCAATATCTTAACAAATATGGCAACGAATTAGTCATATTTATCCATACTAATATTATAAATCTGAAAGTGAGTTTGTTTGTTTGTTTGTTTGTTCCACCTTCACGCCGTAACTACTACACCGATTGCTTTGAAATTTTGCAGACGTAAAGTTAGAAGTCCAGATTAAATAATAGGGTACTTTTTATCCCGGAAAAATGTGATATTCCCGAGGGAAAACAAAACTATTAGTATAGATGGCGCTGTGTGTATTCCTGTAGATGGCGCTTTGTGCCATCTAAAACAATTCAACGAATTACCTACTAATTGGAAATTTCACGCTTTAATCTATAGCGCTTATTTGGTGTTAATCTACCTCTACACTTATTCAGTGCGCTTTTCGACTCATTTATTTGCTATTTTATATGTAAAAATACTTAAAAAACACAACGTGGTAACGTTGTGTAGTAGTTACGCTACTTGGCGATAGATGGCGCTGAGTGTTTATAAAACGGGGTAGCGTTGTGCTTTTAAAGTACTTTTATCGCTTTTAAATTTTGGTTCCTACCATTTTACATTGAATTGTGTATTTTATAGATTTTAGGTTGTTAAAGGTACATGAAATTTGTGTCTATGTAGTAGTTACGCTATTTTTTAAGTATTTTTCGCTTTTAAATTTTGGTTCTAACCATTTTACATTAAATTGCGTATTTTATAGATTTTAGGTTGTTAAAGGTACACAAAATTAGTGACGCTACTAATGTAGTAGTTACGCTACTTGGCGATAGAGTGCGCTGAGTGTTTGTAAAACGGGGTAACGTTGTGTTTTTTAAGTATTTTTATCGCTTTTAATTTTTGATTCCTACCATTTTACATTGAATTGGGTATTTTATAGATTTTAGGTTGTTAAAGGTACACGAAATTGGTGTCTATGTGGAATAGCGATGTGTTTTTTAAGTATTCTTCGCTTTTAAATTTTGGTTCCAACCATTTTACATTAAGTTGCGTATTTTATAGATTTTAGGTTGTTAAAGGTACACGAAACCATAGTGGCAACAATACTCAACAATTAGCAAATATATTGTACGCTGTTGTTTCAACGCTCGATAGATGGCGTTAGGATCGAGTTAGATGGCGCTATGGTTTCGTTACCGGCGAAAGTATAGGTTCCGAGCTTCCGTATCAGCTATATTTTAGAGTACGCATCTAGCGCTTATATTGATTATTATTATTATTTGTTCGCTATGTAAGTTTGATTAGTCAAAAGTGTTATTTTTTCTAGGTAGATATTAGTATTTAAAGTACTATAGTAATTTTTTTTCGACGTTCTAAGACGCTTTGTTCATTGTTTACGTTGATTGATACAGTAGCTATATTAGTTAGGTTAGATTAGTGAAGTGGTTTATTTCTAAGTAGATGTCTAAAGTAGTTAGGTTTTCGATAATAAAACGTATAATATAGTTTACCACTCAGTTTTGGTTTAGCATTGCAAATATAACCCTTATAGGAAATAGGAGTCTTTTAAATTAAAATGGGAGGTGGTATTTGTGGTAATGCGAAAATAACTTCTTCTGTTCTTTCACGCGGCTGAATCGATTCTGAAGAAATTTGGTATAAAGGTAGTTTGAGTCCTGGAAAAGCAAGGCTTTACCGCGGCAGAATTTCTCATTTCCACGGAAAAATCTAAAACGCGCGTTATAACCGAATTCCACGCAAGCGAACAGCTGTTTGTTTGTTTGCCTGTCTTAAACGGCAAAACGGAGGTACTTAACGTGATTTTTCAACTGAAGGTAGGTGAAGGGATGGGTAGTCACATAGGCTACGTTTTATATTTTTGTGACGCGAGCGAAGCCGCGGGTAAAAGCTAGTATTAAATAAAACCTTGCACATTTTCTGGAAATGTAACGTAAAAACCTCTTTAGAGAAAAACCCCAGCTTTGCAGTGTTTTCACTTCAATTAATTACCGACTTTATTTCGGTTGGCTTTACCCGGAATAGTGCCAAGGCTATCCAGTTAAGCTGCTTAGATAATTCATCCTCTTTGAGTTTTTCGAATCCGCCATTTTCGAACTCGCGTTGATAAAAAAACCGTTACTATTTGACGTTGGTGTAACGTTATAAGCTACACATTTTATCGGTTAATTTAGAGGTATTGTAGTTATGTGAAATATTGCATATATTTTACATTATTATGCAATACTATTTGTTATGTGAGATACAGTTTTATGTGTTACATAATTTATTATAGTATTTTAAAGACGGTCAAGGTAGTTTACGATTTTTTTATGTATTGCTGGTTATACAAGCTAAGTAAAATCTTAAGTTATTTTTATTATGATTGCCGAAACCAAATTAAAAAAAAGAAAGCAGTGTGTGTTTGCTGGGCTGTGTTCAAAATATCATCTTCAACAGCAACAGTCTTGAAAATGTTATTTACTTACATAATGTTTTGAGCAGAATTCCTTAAAACAGAAATCAAATTAAAAAAGTCCCACAAACACGATTTTAATAATTACTTTTAAAAACTATGTTTAAAAAATTTCAACGCCCTCTTATTATGAAGTCGGTTAATTGTAATACTAACTTTTTCTTCTAAATGTAGGAAACACTTTTCTGAAAACCGCTTCATAATCGGTTCAACCAATCGCGAGATAATAGCGTACAAACACAGGTATAAATACAGGTGAACGGCAACGCACCTGTGACTCCTCTGGTGTTGCGGGTGTCCATGGGCGGTGCTGATCGCTTACCATCAGGTGATCCGTCTGCTTGTTTGCCTCCTATTCCATAAAAAGGTCAAATTGAGCACCTCCTTCGTTTTTTGAAGTATACATTTTAATTTCACACTTTAATACCAAACTTTTTTACGCTCCTTAACTCATCGATGATGACTTAACCTGCATTAGTCGAACCATCTAGTCACTAGTGCATAATGGCTTGCAATAAATCACAGTAGTTTGTTATTGTGCGTTAGTGCATTAGTCTGTCAAATTAATTACCACCCAGAGACTGGACAAGTCGATTTACAGTTTATAGTTACCGATAAAAATTTTAACTAAGTACCAACTTATTACGTGAATCTGAATGTAGGTGTTTAAGAACAGGATCGTCGATAACTTTAATAATTTCTAGAATATAATTTATGGTTGATATAGCTACTAGTTTCTCAGTATTAATAGCCAATTTAATAAGGTGTTTATAACGACGTTTAAAATAGTATTAAGTTTGCACATGCGATGTGGTTGCTTGATGATGATAACTGTACTATATTTTCAGTATAATGACGGAAGGTACTTTTTTCTTTCCAATGACTTCTCTTAGTCAGAAAGGAAGAGGAAGTGTCAGACTCTTTTTGACCAAATACTACCCTGTTCCTACTTCTGCTCTTCAAGCCGGAGCCTCGGCAACCCATTTAGTCTTCCATGGCTCTGTAGCTGCTATCAGCCATATTGGGCTTCGTCTGTGGTGGTCTGATGGCTCTTCAGGGACGCGCACGGAACCCGAATCGTACGGAACGTGTCCGAAAGGGCTACCTAGAGTTGATCCTAGACTTTCGTACCACGTCACGTTTTTATTGATTATTATATAGACCGTACAATGTGGGTCACCATTTAATTAAATCTTATACCGTATTAATCAGTATTCCGTATCATTTATTGCTATAAAACCAAATGAAAAAACCAATTCAAGTATAATCTTATCGTTTATTCCTGAGATACATACCTATAAATAACTTGTAGAAGGTTACGATTTTATAACTTAAAAGTGTAATATTCATTTTTCTCCATTTCAAAAAGTATTCATGGGAACTTTTAATAGGACCAAAATGCAGTTCTTTTAGTTTATCTTCTTTTGGAACAGCGGCAAAGAAAAAGTTTTGCTCGAAACTTAACGGATCGTGGCAGAGATTAAGTGCACAAGTGATTAGGACGAAGACAGTAGCAATTAACCAACTAATGGTCGTTAGACGATAAAAAATAGTTGAGATAAGTTCGCTGATAGTTTTTTCGTGATAATTAAATACTTTTTATTTTGATTTTTGTAGTGTAAGGGTGGTTAGTAGGCAACGAAATTTTTGATATAAGATCGATGAATAGAATCCTTAACTTGAGTTAAGGACTAAAGACTACATAGAGAATTTCTTTGTGTTTTTTTCTATATCTATATAAATATGTGTATTTATTTGTTCTTTTCTTTTTTAATTTTGTATTTTTTGTATCTGTGTGCGTGCCTCCTGTCGAATAAAATTTTTTCTTTCTTTCTTTCTTTCAATTTCCAGTTACGCTACGAAGTCATCTTAATATTGTTTTTCTAATAACAGATTAACTTCAACATGTACTTATTAGTATTTATGTCGTTTGTAAATGAGCTGAGTTTATAAAAAGTAATTTCAAAAAAGAAATCAGTGAAGTTTTATTATTTGGTCCCACTTCTGGTTCATTAACTTTTTACTCCCATTTTCTCAGCATAAGCTTCTCAAAAACCTTGATAGTATCAAATGTCTACATTCTTATGTACATACGTACTATAGCCGCAACTCCCAAAGATACCATTCGTTTTCTTAAATCTGTAAAAATACCGCCATTTTTCTTTCCTGTTAGCACGGCCAAAAGAAATAAAAAGATTAACTAGTCTACGGGCTGGCTACCTAGGGAGTCCTAGATGGAGGCTTAGTACAGTCACCGATAAAAGGATTTCTGGAGCAAGCTTTGAGTTAGAGATATAGATACATCTAACATCTTCTGATTCACTTCGTTGCGGGAACCAAGACAGTTACTCATGTCCCTGGGACGCGCCGGTCTTCAATGTTCCGGTGTTTTCATGGTAGTATCTACTGTAGATCCTGCCTTACAGGAGTTGCAGCGGTTTTGGGAGGTTGTGGCGGGCTTGTCCCAAAAAAAAGATACATCTAATTATGGTCAATGTAACGTAAACCAATAGTGTGATTTTAATGCTTTGTTTGATTGTTTTTCTCAGAAGCTTCTTAAAACTTTGGAGTGAGGCAATTGTGGCGTGTGTTTTTTCTACGACACACAATCAAAAAGTATTGTTCGTATATCCCCAAGCGGACACCGGTGACCGCTCTCCACTAAATATATTATAGACCATATTTCCGATGCTTAGAGACTACTTTTGTATGAACAAATTTGGGGGATGATTTTCAACAGGTTAAATAACAAATAATATGAAACAGAAATGTAACAGATTCCAGGAACATTTTGACGCAAACTGTACTTTTACTAAAATAAGATTTATACTCTGTGTACCCTAGATCTTGTTTGCAGCCATTTTTCTTTAAAGAAAACATATTTCATTCAAACTTCATATTTTATTTTAACATCATTTATCTTCATCCTTCCTTCTAATTTCCTGCAAAAAATTAGCAAAAAGATTATTTCCTTTTAAAATTCGGTAGGTACTCATGATCCGATAGAATTTGATTATTTGATTTCAATTGGTTTTGTAACGTAACGTGCAACAGACAGACAGATCCAATTCCTACAAAATGTTTGACTATAGTTTCTCTGCGTGACTTTGTTCACGTAGCAGTTGTGTCATTAACTATGATGTAATAGTACACGTAGGCAACGTGTATATATGTCGTTCCGATAACGATTAATCGATCTTGCAACTTTGTTTTTAATGGGCAGCGATTATTGACTATGCTATCGATTAAACAAATTTTCTTTAAAAAAGTTTAACTTTATATTTTTGTAAACTTTGCCATTGCCATAGAACACGAGCTGGCGTGACATGGTATATTAGCAGTGGCTGAATGACGTGCTATTAGACAGGCCTATGTTTATCAATACACTGAAATATACAAAAATAACTCAAGAACAGCTAAATCAATTTGGCTGAAAATTGGTGGGGACGTAGCTTACAACCAGGAGGCGGAAATAGGAAACCTTTTAACCAAGGATTTTTCGAAAATCCTGTAGGAATGGAAAAATACATCGCGGGCAGAAGCTAGTATTAAACAAAGAACACCATTCAGCATCAAACTTCTTTGGATATTGTATCTCTCTACTTAACAATCTATATCATTTCTAAACCTAATCTTCCCTTGTTCCAGCTACCTACCGCTCCCGCAACCGTCGTGAGCTGACCCTAGAACCAGAGCCCTTCGATGTCAATGAAGTGGAGAAATACATCGTTGGGGAGTTTGGCGCACGAGCATGTGTGTTTGAAAGGGTTTGTGCACACTATGCCACTAGGGCGCAGGCGCAGCCGCGTCCACAGTTCGACTGGCCTAATGTATTTAGGTAAATATTGTTTGTTATTGGTAATTTTGACTATAAAACGTGAAATTGTAACAGTATCTACCTTGCTATAGTCAAACAACATAGACAGGGCTTTATGACTTAGAGTTTTCTGTAGTTAGGAGCTTGTTTTTTAAAGGTGAATGCTGAAACGAAACTGAAACGCATTGTTGGATTTAGCTAAGTTGAAAGAAATGCAATGAACAGAAATATGTCCAGTCAAATTAAAAATCATAACCAACAGAGTGAAGATAATTTTACCAGCACATAACTAAAACAAGAGTTTCTTTGATTCTAAAATAATAAGGATACGTTTTATAGAACTCATTTAAATCGTGTACAAAGTTTTATTAAACAAGTATGTCAACAGCTCAAAGGAAATAAAAGTGAACGATGTTCCCCTCGTAAATTATAAGTTAATACTTGCAAAGCACTTTGCACAACTTATAAAACTGCTGCGCACTTTAAGTTGTAAAGTTGTCAAAAGAGTTCGGTTTTTACGTTCAAAAAGTTTGTATAAGTATTTCACTTTTTTACGCCTTTTGTTTACCTTTTCATTTTTTTCAAACTTTTATTATAACGAATTTTATTTTAGCTTTTGTTTTATTACGAGTGTAGAGAACAAATTTTGGATTTTATTTCAGTTTATAACGAATTTTGAAGATAATATTACTATGATTAGTAGTAATTTTTATCTTTTTATCTGTGTATTTATTATGTAGGTACAATAATCTCAAGTTCTTATCAGACATTTTTAAAATTGTTTGCAAGTGAAACTAACGGTTTCATTAACCTCACCCAAGTCAAAAAAACCTTTTTATAACATTTTACATTAACTCTACCATATAATTCAGAACCTTTTACTGCACCCCTTTATTTCCTCACGACCTTGACACGTCGGTCCATCGGTCACAAAATTTCTATGAATATTTCATAACGTTTGATTCCAATGTTTTCAATGCCACGTCCAATTGTGGCGAACCGGGTCAGTGGTCGGTGTTTCGTATAAGAATGCAGCAAAGTGTGTCCGTCAGTCGCAAGTGGGACATTGATGTAATAGTGGTACGCTGTACGCAACCGCGCGGGTCATCGCCGCTCGCGTAGTCGCCCAACCATGAGGATTGTAGGAAATTGCGAAATTTTTTACTAAGGAGTTTCTTTTGGATGAATATTTATAATCGTTTGTTTTTCTTGGACTGGACTGAATAATTTATGCGTACTGTTGCATTATTTTAAAATATGCGTGGTTATCTTGATGATCTTTTGTTCATAAATTAAGAGTAGGTACAAAATAGTAGTTGACATAGAAACATAAGATATTATATCCTTCAACAAATTACGTAAATCAAATCTTAGTTTGAAACATAGTTTACTGGCTGACTTAATGATTAATTACTGATTATCATAACATTATTTAGCTTGCAGTAAATTATATAACTAATTACAACAAAAGGGGGCAATTACTGAATGAATCAAGGTTATGAATGTTATGATGTCATTGCTAGCCCAGTCCGAGGTCTAATAACTTTGAAAATATCGTCATGGTAAATTATCTAATTTGTTTATTATCTGTTATGCAAGTTAAACAAATTAATTGAAACTTTAAACATTAATAATTGAGCAGATGTAGCCAAATCATTAAATTACACTGACACTGATATTGGACGAAACAATATGAAAGTTTGTCACGTTGTATTTTTATCAAATTAAGCTTTTTACACATTTTATTAGGATTTTTTCACAAAACATTAATCAAAGGTCAAGTAGGTAAGTCGATAATCTGTGTGGATGGGTGACTAGAGTCTACTTTACGTTCGACGTCCGAGGTGAGCCACTATTATGCAACAGCGCAAAACACTTTCACTGCTCTAAGCTAACAAACAAAAATATACCTTAACACAAGGAAATAAAGCATAGTAATAGACAGCTTTAAAATATTTTCCTACATCTAAGATTACATTGAAATATCATACTTAGAGTTTTCATCTTAAGTCTGAAATTATAGATAGTTTCAACGTGTTTTTTTATTGTTGTAAAGCAATTGTCAGTTTGTGGTTTACAGAGATTGTTATAAAGATATAGTTCCGTATTATCTCATCTTTTACGATGTAAAGTAGTAATTTGTGTGACCAATTACGATTTTCTATTTATTTGTAAAGGATAGTGAACTTGAGAAAGTGAATAATGAATTAAGTAAAGTCTTTGTTCTATCTTCCATAGATCATTTGTACAAACTTGAACTTCACTTGACGTTTATTATTGCTTTAAGAGTAAATTATTAAGATACCCTTATCAATCAAAATAAATAAGTGTGGGAGTCATGCTTTGGCTGATACCACGGGCTTCACAGAAGACTGACATGAAACAACGCTTGCGTTTTATTTCGTCGTATGAGTGAGGTTACTGGAGGCCCAATTACCCCCACTCCCCTTCTCCAATCCCCAACAATCCTCAAATCCCTAATCCCAGGTATCCATCAGACGATTCGTCCACTTGTTTGCTACTCATATCATCCCATAACATGTTAGGTACAATCAAGAAAGAAATATAACATGACTTTCACGCATCTATATTATTACTAGTACTTCGATGCAGTGTTGTAGGTATTAGTATTGTAGTTTATACGGTACTGCATCAAAATACACCCAAAAATATGGCCCTTGCATCGTGCCCAGTATCATTTTCATGTCAAATTTCTCAATTGCATCTTCAACTTTATGAAATTGACATGAAGACGAAAATACAATGAATAAATTTGACAAATTGTACATCTGCATAATATTTTACATAATGTCACTGAACGGACGTCAGCTCATAATTATTTTTGCATATAAAGTTTTCACGGGAAAACTAAATGAAATTACTTTAAAATATAAAGTCTTTGGTTCTAAAGAAATTAATCACTTAGATGATGGATGATGGATGTTGCTGCAGGGTTTTTATAATGAGAATGAAGTGCAAAAGTATGTCAGTCTGTGTTGTTTGAAGACCACTGTAGTTGCTGTAGTTTTTATAAGTTTTATATTAAACAGAGATTTTCTTTATCTTGTTTTGTAATTAAAAATGCTTTTCATGACTGGTAGCAAAATTCTGACTTTGATTTATATTACATTGTATATGAATTGGGTAATTGCCTTAATCAAAAATAAATTAATTCAACTGTTTAACACAATAAAATGTTAAAAAATAATCATAATTTCATTAATTTATTTTATGACCAAATTAATTTAAGTATTTTACAAACAAATCTTTAAGAAATAAGTATGCTGTTTGACGCTAAAAAACGTGACGTCACAATACACAATCTCGTACAAAATTCACAGTAAAAGTGTCGTTTTTGACAGTTATTGAATCTGACTAGTTGGCAAGAACCCAATTGTAAAATACTATAATTTTATAACTGCTTTTCATGTAGGGTTTCGAACTCTTACTAGTTATTCGAAAATGTATTAGTCTGGAATCATACAACCTTTATGACACTGTGCTCCTTTAATTGGGATGATGACAGGGTATGAAAATTAAAATCTAATTAGTCCGTCAGTTAGGTAATGAAAAAATATTTATTACACACGTATATTTTTATTTTGTCTTATAATAAAACAATACTAAGATAAAACGAATCAAAGTTTAGGAGTGGGAGGTAAAACGTCATAAAATGTACAAAGAAGTGACGTCACGCGACATTTCAAATCAATATAATGTATTCGTTTCTGTAAGAAAATAAAAAATACGTGTTTAATGATTTAAAATAATCTACCAGATGGACATTAAGATAAAAATTAGGCATCTATCCTATTACTCCTTCGAAAATCAACGACGCCATGATAATTATATAATCTACTTAAACCTGAATAACCTACAGCGTTCTTTTCTCAATTATCCCCTTTTTAAATGTATTTAATTTTTATTTACAGTCAATACAAACGCTCACCGGATCAGGCCAAGGAGTTCTACCTTCTCTCAGTGTTCCTGGGTGATATCGTAGGCTCACCGCAGTTGTGTCACCAGATTGGAAAACGAAGGAGTTGTGACTCCCTAGCTTATGGGATAGAATAAAAAGTATTGTAAATCCAAAGATAAGTATGTGAACACGTTAGAAATGCATTATCTTTTTTATGTAAGTTGGTAGGATGTAGTTTGTACAAAAATGTAATGGTATTGTTGTTTTAAGTAGTTTTAGTAGGTGTTTTAAAGACTATTGTTTTGTTAAAGTGTATATTAAATTCAATTGGTCGTCTTTCGGTGATAGGAAAGGGAAAAAGGGTTTGTAGACCTATTTACATTTCATTGAGCAATAAGGAAATACTTTTAAAATAAAGGTTAAATATCATTTTGATATACAGCAACAATCATTTTATATGATGCTAATTTAAAAAGGCAACTAGCTTTTAAGGCAAATCAATAAGAGAGTGCAGGATTTTTACCTCACTATAACTATTTGGTATGGTAATCTTGTTCATGTTAATTGTGAAAAATCTCACGTCCATCGAGGATGTTCTCGGTAGTCATGGCAGCGCCTATAAGGAGACACCAGGTCCTTTAAATAGGCCAACTTTGAAACCTGTGTAACGCTTAATTACAACCATTCCTATGAAGAGTTACCATTAGAACCTATTAGAATGTTTATAACTTTTTAATAACAATCCAGAAAACCGATTTATTATTGACTATACATAACGACATTTTTATTTGAATAAAACTTAGAATTAGTTAGCGAATGTTTTAGTTTTAATTCATAGAATAAGCAATAACCTACTGTTTTAGAGTAGGTTCGAATTTGTCGGGCAAATGTGTAATTATAGAAAAAGTTATCAATTTGTAGGTAATGAAAAAGTAGTAAGTAGTATTTTTAATACATATATTTTGTATTTTTATATATAAGTATGTAATGTCTATAAAGATATCACTTAAATGTGTTCACAAGGAATAAGTTAGGTAGTTAGTGTATTTCATCATCATCAACAGCCTATAAATGCTCACTGCTAAGCAAAGCCTCTTCTCACACGGAGAAGGTTTGAACATTAATCACCACGCTGGCTCAAATCGGGTTGGCGAATACAACCGTATAATTAGAAATTATAAGCGCAGGTTTCCTCACGATGTTTTCTTCACCGATTGTCAGTGGCGTCTAGATAATCTTAGAAAATACATATAACTCGGAAAATGTCACATTGGTACTTGCCGTTGGTAGGTTTCGACCCCGCACAGTCATGCATGGGAAACGGGCGTCTTAAACCTCTGGGCCACCAAGACTTTAGTGTATTTAAAGCTCGAAAAACAATTCAGTATACAGGAAAGAAAATAAAAACTAATTCAGTACAGAAACATTAGCTATACGTGGCTGTTCATTAAGTATGTAACTCGGTGACAATACCACACAGCTTAGCTATGTCTTGATATTAAATATCAATAATTAACTAAAAATTGCGGATTAGTAGTAGAGCTTTTCTCAGTATTTTCACGTGTGTAACCCGCGATTTTTATTTAATTTAGTATGTCTCACGATAATTATTATAAAAAACTGTCAATAACCAACTTAGTTTTATTTACGTTATTATTATATGATAATTGGAAAATACCACATCAATATAAAGTGATGATAATTAAGATATGAAATATATAATTTTAAAGTAGTTTAAGATTAACGCGCGCATTAAGTTACCTATATTGTGATGTAGTACTTAACAATTAACTTAAATATATAGCTATGGGTCCAAATAATCCTTTTAATACATAGTTGTCTTTTAAGCTTTCTTTTTAACTTTTTAAATATCTTTACTTTTCTATGTTTTTATGGTATCAACGTGATGGAAGCTAAAGAGGTATGTAAGTGAACCCTGTAGCCTGTACAGGGTGTAGCGAGCGCTATATCAATTATATGGGGCCCCCGGACTACGGGACCGCTAACGTGCATAGGTTTTTAAATTTATTTCTATAAAAAACTATGTTTATTTAATTTTTTAATTATATTTTTGTTATAGCTTTGAGGTTTAAAGTAATTTGTTTAATAATAAGTAATTAATGTATTGTGATCAACAATGCATATAGAGGCTAATATTGTTATAAATATGTATTTCTATCTATTTACTTTGCCTAATATTTTACGATAAGTTATTAAATTAATAAGCACAGTAGTATGACAATATTCACAATATAAGACCACTTTTTATGCTAAATATTTAAAAGACCACACAAAACAATACTTTGCCTTCCTATTATAATTATTTTCTCCTTTTCTATATAATTACTAGATTAAACTTAAATAAAAAGAGTTGGATGTGTTTTATACAAGTTATTAGTTTTAATAAAATTATTATAATAAGATTTCAAACCGTGAATTCTTCCATTTAGTTGCCACAGGATAAATGTGCAATTAATATTATGGATTCTATTATTTTTATCTCATCACCTGTATACTTTTCTTAGTAATAAATATTCCGGCTTATTAAGTAGGTAGTAAAGATCTATTCTTGTACACAAAAATCAGCACATTATTTTTTCTCTCAAAACTATTCAAACAGGTGATTAGATTTTCATACATAGGCACACTTTTATATTTGTTATTTTTTTTACATTTTTGGCATTTCATTGAAATGTTTTAAAACGAGGATTTAATCTTAACCCTGGTGTGCATGAAAATTAAAAGAAAACAAATAACTGTTTGATAAGCAAAAAAGTTACATATTTCAAATGATAGAATGGGAAAATGGCTGACGGACGATTTTCAGGTGTTTCAGTATTTTATTGGGACATTTTAGTGTAGGTAAATGAATATGTAATTTAATTAGATATAAGCGTACCTATTATATGGTTATTATTGATACTTATTGAATAATATGTTTTATGCATAGTTTATATATGTATGTATTAACATAGGTAGAGGTAATGACAATAAAAAAATGTAGAACTAGTCAACTAGAAACAATAAAGTGGTGTATAGATTTTTGGTGTTTTATTTTATGAATAAGGTGAAAGGGAGCAATCTTCGTACAACGAAAAATTTTAAAAAGGACAACTGTGTTATATTTTTTCAAATTGACATAAAAATCGAAGCCGAAATCTCATTCTCTGTAAGTTAAACTAGCCCAGATGACTATAGGCGTTAGCGTTATGTTCCACGCGCGCCACTAGAGGAAAGAAATCAGCCTGCAAGGGCTGCTTTCTGGTGGGACCTGCAACAATATTGTGGTAGGTCGAAGCCTGCCGGGTGCGTTTATTCCGCAAGGGCGTCCCGGGTCACGGCCATGGGAAAAGGAGGAATACCGCGGTGGTTTTAGCCGGTAAGAATCCGTGCCCACGTCGTAGGAAGATTTTCCGTTGAAGATTCCATGAGGATTTCCATCGCGTTATAAAAGCCAAGATGACTCGACCAACGATATTTTTCTTTAATAAAATTGCTAAATTATAAATGGTAAAATCGGATTAATTAATTTTCTCTCAAATTATTTCTTATCTCGGCTGTCGAATCTTGTAGAATTTCATAATACCTTTCATTCATCATAGCTATTCTATTTAAACGATTTCAATGAAACAAAATTTCATTGGTTTCGTATTCTGTTAAAATTTAATATGAAGGATAAGATCTATAGGTAATTTCTTGATAATGAATCTTAGTTATATTCTTGGAAACTATGCCAAATAAGTGTACAATAAATTGTTCTACTCTTTCTGTTGGTGTCTTAGACTCGTAAGAGCCAACTACACGGTCAACCTGCCAATATTATAGAGATTATAGCAATTTGTATGGAGAGGAATCTTAAAATTTAACAACAGCTATTAGCTGCCCTGACTACTGGCGTGGCTTGAAACAGATCAAGTAACTTTGACGAACAGAGTAGATATGTACCATGTAGGTGGGAGTTTTTGGAAGGAAATATGAAACGTTGGTTGCTATTAATTTACCTTTTGATAGCTTCTATTTAATCAGTTGTCACTGAGAACGAGGAAGAATATTGCAAAACATGCTTAATATCAGTCTTCATTATCCTTCTGAAGGTTAAAAACCCACTGAAGTATTCCTGAAAACAATACGGTACACAAATTGCAATCATCTCCCTGCCCTTCCATGATAAGGAACCAGGTCAATTGTTTTGATGTGGCTTGAAGTATTGAAGGGGAACACAACGTATTTTGGTATAAAATTTGCAAATGGACCGGAAAGATCGGTCCATTTCCGCAGACCCAATATGGCCGAACGTCCGGTTGGACATGGCGTTAATCATGCGGTTCAGTTTTATTGTTTTTATGTGGAGTTGTATAAGAATGTTTTGTATTCGTTCTAAGGCTTATATTTTTAGGGTGGGTATTTTGTTGTAAGGGTATAAAATATCAAATTCTTCCTTTACCTGATAATGACAAGATTTTGGAGCATGTGCGGTTAGGTACCAAAATATCATTTTCCTGGCAATCAATAAAGTAGGTTTTTAATATTTTTTACTTAATTCAAATTTGTGCATTTGCAGTGGATACTTCTAAAACTATCACTAAACAAGTATTGTTTTCGTCAAGTAAATTGAAAACATCATCTTCGAAATCCAATATTTATAAAAATTGTAAATAAATCAACAATAAACACTGTTCGTGCATAAACTGGCATCTTAAGCAGTAAGGAACTATCCAGCCTTATTTTATGGTAAAACTTCTATGTAGCTATTCTAGCGCCATCTGAAGAGAATGTTGAGAAATAATACTTTACTTTACATAGCGAGAAAGTGAACTTTCTTGATAACTCGTACTGCCAAGTAGTTGATGAAAGTAATTGTTGTTCCATTCGCTAGATGGCGCGTTTCTGTTCTCAAATGGAACATACACGACATTTTGTACCTAGATGGTAACAGAATCTTTTTGTAGAGGGCGCTAGTAGTAACGCAATAACAGTTTGTAAAATTAAACTAAGTTATTACTCTATTTGCAACCTATAGGTATATTTATTTGATACTTTACACAGAGAAAGCGAAAAATCACAGGTAAGGTAAAATTAAGAAATAATTACGAATTTAACTAATGAAATATGTTAATTAAAACGAAATTTTATTAGAATAGTGATATAATATCTTCGACATTCAAATTCCATAGATTAACTATGAATGAAATGCAGAATTTAACACTTTACGAGTTTTAAATACATGATAATATCAAAGGATATATATATTCGTGTACATCTAATCGTGTTATTGGAATTTTTTAACCAGTATTGCGACACATATTTTGAATAAATATCCGATTAGATGGTCTAAAAATGGCATTTTTACCTACTTTTAAAAAAGATTTGTATGTTATTTCGGCAATATTATCATTCTGATTATGTATAATTATTCGATTAGGTTGCAATTTTAACAGTAAAAAGAAGGCCTATGGTCTCCTTTCAATATTATTTGCCTTAATTTTGACCTCTATTCGACTGATTTACAATTTATGTTAACTGTTATTGTGAATAGTATACGTCATATTATTGAAAATTACATTGTCATGGGTTGATTTCTAAATTTAATTTGGGTGTCATAATGTTAAATCACAGTACATCATAAATAAAGAGTAAGACAAAGGTACTTACAGGTTAGTGTTTTTTTTTTTGTAACATAGGGATTATTTACCAAACTTTTATTAAAATATCTAGGAATGAATAATTGTGAACTTCTAT